TTATCACACAAGTCCAAGATTCTGACCCGAACTCTGTTAATGAAGATATGGTAAGTTCTCCCTCACAACCTACCGAACCACACATAGATGATCTTGATTTGCCTATTGCTATTAGAAAAGGTTGTAGAGAATGCAGAAACCAACCATTATATCCATTATCCCACTATGTGTCTCTTGATCATTTCTCACCATCACATTAAAAAAATTCCTTGTGAGTCTCAATACAGCTTTTGTTCTAAACACTCTATCTGAGGCATTATCAAAAAGAGAATGGAGAGATGCTATGGGAGAAGAAATGGATGCACTGGAGAAATACAAGGCATGGGAGATTGTTGATCAACCAAAAGTTTAGAATCAGGTAGGCTGCAAATGGGTGTTTACTTTGTATTCAAGGCTGATGGGTCACTTGAAAGGTATAAGGCAAGGTTAGTCGTTAAAGGTTATACTCAGACTTATAGTGTTGATTATCAAGAGACATTTGCCCTTGTTACAAAAATGAATACAGTGAGGATTTTACTATCATTGGCGGCTGATTTTGATTGGGAGCTTCAACAATATGATGTGAAGAATGCATTCTTACATGGAGACTTGGAAGAAGAAATCTACATGACCATTCCACCTAGTTTTGAAGGGAAAGGAGCAACTAATAAAGTCCGCAAATTGAGGAAGGCTCTATATGGACTTAAGCAATCTCCTAGAGCCTTGTTTGGAAGGTTTTGCTAATGTAATGAGAGACATGGGCTTTAGACAGAGCCAAGGAGACCACACACTTTTGATTAAGCATTCTGATTCTAGGGGAGTGACAGCACTTATGTTGATGATATAATTATTACCGGGAATGATGAGAAGGAGAAGCAAGCTTTGAAGAAGTCTAATCAGGGAGTTTGAAATAAAATAACTTGGTAGACTAAAGTATTTTCTCGGGATTGAAGTTGCATATTCATGACAGGGCATTTTTATCTCACAATAGAAGTATGTGACAAATTTGTTGAAGGAAACCGGTAAGCTTGCTCGTAAACCAGCAACTACTCCTATTGACCCTAATCACAAGCTTGGAGAAGCCACAGAAGATCCAACTATAGATAAAGGAATGTACCAGCGATTGGTAGGAAAACTTATCTACCTTGCTCATACCCGACCAGACATTGCTTATGCAACAGGCGTTATCAGTCAGTTCATGCATGATCCCAGGAAGGCACACTTGCAAGCAGCATATAGAGTATTACAATACTTGAAAGGAAGTCCTGGCAAAGGAGTTTTATTCAAAAGAAATACTGGACTCACTCTAGAAGCCTATACAGACGCAGATTATGTAGGGTCTCTTATAGATAGAAGATCTACTTTAGGTTTGTTAGGTTCCCGAAAATCTATGCTTCATTAACAATACTAAAAATGGAAAATTACAAGATGGATGGGCAGTTTCGAGGACCCCCTACCTCCAAAATAGTGCACAGCACTAGACACTCTACAAATTTGATTTTCCCTCCCTAGCAACTAAACCCCCTATTTATACTCTCCTCAAGACTATTGAAAAAGACTTCTAAATATTAGGTTCCTAACATTACCCCCACCCTAAAGAATCACCTTGTCCTCAAGGTGAAAATCAAGAAATAAAATTGAAAAATAACATCTAAATGATTAAGAACAAAAGACTTTGTTAGTTCCTTGATTGGAGTCCCCAAATTGATGTTGTCCTCGTTAGTCACGTCTTCAAATTGGAGCCAATCAATTACTTTCTTCTCCATCTTCTTTGTATCTTGGAAAGCAACCACAATGTCTATCAATTCATTTGAAACTCTCTGCGCAAAAATTACAAGATGGATGGGCAGTTTCGAGGACCCCCTACCTCCAAAATAGTGCACAGCACTAGACACTCTACAAATTTGATTTTCCCTCCCTAGCAACTAAACCCCCTATTTATACTCTCCTCAAGACTATTGAAAAAGACTTCTAAATATTAGGTTCCTAACATTACCCCCACCCTAAAGAATCACCTTGTCCTCAAGGTGAAAATCAAGAAATAAAATTGAAAAATAACATCTAAATGATTAAGAACAAAAGACTTTGTTAGTTCCTTGATTGGAGTCCCCAAATTGATGTTGTCCTCGTTAGTCACGTCTTCAAATTGGAGCCAATCAATTACTTTCTTCTCCATCTTCTTTGTATCTTGGAAAGCAACCACAATGTCTATCAATTCATTTGAAACTCTCTGCGCAAGCTCATCAATGGTCACAAAAAATATTGACAAATCAATCCTCACTAAGGGAGTTTCCTTCTTAGCCAACCAGGACATCAACCTTTTAACTTCACTCTCACCAATTTCTTCATACTCAGCTACAATCCTACCATTCCCAGCCCCAAACGTGTTAAAGTTTTGAGGCCTCTGACTGCCCGAGCACCAAAATTAGGCCAACTCATATTGTAATTACGAGGCTCAACCCCAAAATTGGCTCTGCCCATACCGAAAACACTAGACCCAGCCCACTTCTGAACAGAATTTCGGAATTCAGCCCCAAAATCGCCGGATTTCGCATCGGAATTCCACGTCCTGGCCATCATCTTGCCGGAGCTAGCCCCAATGGCGTCAAAATCAAAAAACCCAGCATTAAGGGCATCAGAATTCATGGGTCCCACTCCAATTCCGCCAGAATCTGCCTCCGTGGCACCGGAACCAGCCCCTTTCACACCGGAATTGCGAAGCCCAGTCCAAACCGGGTCGGAATCAGCCCCAACCTCGCCGGAAACACCCTCAACAGCGTCAGAATCATGAGACCCGCTCCAAATTTGGCTAGAATTTTCGAAAACAACACCAATCTCACCGGGATCAGCCTTAATCGAGTCGGAATTGCGAGACTCCAGTACAATTCCGCCGGAATCTGCCTCTATAGCACCGGAGTCGACCCCTTTCACGCCGGAATCGTGAGGCCCTATCCAAACAGCAGCCAAATCGTCGAGCCCAGCCTCCGTCGCGCCGGAATCTGTCTCTGTAGCACCGGAATCAGCCCCTTTCACGCCGGAATCGCGATGCCCGGTACAAATCGGTCCGGAATCAGCCCCAACCGCGACCAAAACAGGGATGGGTTCCCTATTCCGAGGGTACCCATGCCGTCCCAGCCCCGGAGATAGCCTCTCCTCCTCTAACTCCGGCTCCCACTCCGATTCCTGTCGCCGAACAAGCTCCGTCGCCCTTTCCCGACGGTCACGACCTCCGTCCGCCCTCCTCCCGTCGTCGAACAACCCCACACGCTGCAGATCCGGACCACCCAGCCCCAGATCACGACGGATCTCGCGCTCCTCCATGAGACCCACGTCTCTCCGGCGTCGGAACTCCCTCTCGCGGCCTCGATCTTCGCAAATCGGCGCTTCCCGATGAAGATTTGCCCGATTTGGCACCTCCACTCCGCCTGGGCCGACGCGATCTGGGCTCTCCTCGCCCCGAGGCGCGCGATCTCGCCTCTCCCCGTCCCGTCGTTTGCCGTCGCGACCCAACTCGGCCTTCCCGGCCATCGGCCGCGCCGCCAGCAGTGCCTCCATCCTCCGCAGCACTGCCTACACGTCTTCCATCTGAGTCCGAACCTTCTCCACCTGGTCCCGGAGCCCCCCCATACTCCCTCCAGAAACCTTGAGATTGGCTCTGAGAACAGCCCTAAGTTTCTCTCTTAACTCAAAAAGCTCCGTGGATCATAGATGCTCTGATACCATTGTTAGGTTCCCGAAAATCTATGCTTCATTAACAATACTAAAAATGGAAAATTACAAGATGGATGGGCAGTTTCGAGGACCCCCTACCTCCAAAATAGTGCACAGCACTAGACACACTCTACAAATCTGATTTTCCCTCCCTAGCAACTAAACCCCCTATTTATACTCTCCTCATGACTATTGAAAAAGACTTCTAAATATTAGGTTCCTAACATTACCCCAATTGTTATAACCCTTGGGTAGAACTCATCCCCAAAAGCTAGCTTGTAAGGAGAGGGTGCCCAAGTGGTTATAAACCCACATGCTAAGCCCATACTTAGCAATGTGGGACTCAACCAGGATCCTAACATACCACCATGCTTCCGACACCGACGTCCACGGCGGCCCACTCTGGATGGCCCACTCTGGCCTTTCCAGGTCGCCCCTCCCCAGGTCGCCCTTTCCGCAACGTGAGCCTGAGGAGGAGCATGCTCTGATACCAATTGTTATAACCCTTGGGTAGAACTCATCCCCAAAAGCTAACTTGTAAGGAGATGGTGCCCAAGTGGTTATAAACCCACATGTTAAGCTCATACTTAGCAATGTGGGACTCAACCAGGATCCTAACAAGGTTATTGTACATTTCTTGGTGGTAATTTGGTGACATGGAAGAGCAAGAAGCAAAATGTGGTGGCAAGATCTAGTGCTGAGTCGGAATTCAAAGCAATGGCTCAAGGAGTGTGTGAATTGCTTTGGACAAAGATCATTTTAGACAACTTGAAGATCAAGTGGATAGGACCAATGAAGCTTTATTGTGACAATAAATTAGCAATTAATATAGCTCATAATCCTGTCCCAGCATGGCAGAACGAAACACATCGAGATAGACAGACACTTCATCAAGGAAAAGTTAGAATGTAGTCTGATAAGCACACCATATGTATCTTCAGGGAATCAACTAGCAGGTCTTCTGACAAAAGGGCTCAGTAGTGCGACCTTTAATGAAATCATTTCCAAGCTGGGAATGGTTGACACCTATTCTCCAGCTTGAGGGGGAGTGTGGAATTAAACAGCTAGCATAATCTGTAAAGCTAGTATAATCTCTTATAGATAGGACTCTGTAAATGTATTTTAGGCAAGTTTTTGACCCTGGAATCATGGGATTGATAGGCATAGATAGTTTCCTCTTTTTCTGCCCTAGAGAATTCATTACATTGGTTTGTATTCCTTGTAAATTATTCATTCCTGTTAATGAGAATATCCAGTTTTTCTCTCGTCTTTATCACTTTTCACGATAGTATCCTAACTAACACACTTACCGGCTCCACTTGACCAGAAATATTGTTGCAGAAGAAGATTGGTTGATTAAACTTTTCACCACGGACATAAAGCTGCATATATGGAAAAAGAAATCCATGTGAGAGCAATGCAATTAGATTTGCAATTAATAGTTATGGCAAACACATGACCAAGGAAATCAAAATATGGATGAGTAAAATGGCGAGCAAACAAGGATGTTCAATCATACATTTAAATCATCAAATCTACAAATACTTTAGTGAAAAAAGCCTTGAAAAACTCCTCTATTTAAATTATAGGTAGATAGACTCCTTAGACAACAATAGCAAGGCATGAATTGTTCATTGATATACTTCCTAATACATTGCTAGCTTCTCGTAGCATTCGAGCCCAGATCTCTCCCTTAAACCCACCTCATCCTTACCAACTGGGCTAGCACCAATTGGCACTACTTATATATATAGCCCGGATCTCTCCCTTAAACCCACCTCATCCTTACCAACTGAGCTAGCACCAGTTGGCACTGTTTATATATACATATAAGAAATGAGAGAATATTATTAATGAACAATGGAAAAGAAAAGTACAATTGGGGACAAGGAGTCCACCAAAGAAAAACAAAACAAAGAGAACTAGAAGGACATGACTAATGAAGGACTAAATCCCATCCTCTAAGTAAATCTGAAAAGGAAAATGAATTGAAGCCTTTAACTTGAGATAACCACAATGCCACACTAATTTAATTCTGTCCCACACTACAGCATGGAGGTGTTCAAAGTCCCCACTAAGGTGAGAGTAAGAAACATAGACTTTGTATCTATATTCAATGAGAGAGAAATCTAAGCCGAAACCAAGAAAAATATTACCCAAAAACCTGAACATAGCGATACTGTCAACATAGAAGAAAACAAAAAGAAATCAAAATTTTAAAAAATACAGGGCAACCTTTATGCTATGATGCAGAGTAAAAGTAAAGTGTGGACAAAGATACCTTCAGAGGCACCCAAGCCAACACATAAGTTTATTATTTAAAAAAAAAAAGAGTTACCATAATATGCAGATAGAATTATCAAAGCAACTACTCCAATATCATACAAACTCACGAGAGTGCATACCAGGGGCATATCAAACGCAAAGAAGTCTCCAACGGGCTTATTTGCGACAAAGACCATGCGTATATTTGACAAGTAAATCATTCCCTTTGCTTTAACATGACCCCCCTGAGTTCTACAACAAAAGTATAAAGTTAGTTCAAAGACAAAAACAATTTGAGTATCATTTAAATAAAATACGTGTTTGCTGCTATTCAGCACATTACAAGTTTTCCTTAAAGAGAGAGAGAATGTATGACGTACAGCAAGCACACAACCAATAGTTTCCTATTCAAGAGTTTCTCACTTTAAAGTTTCCTAATTTCTTAGATATATTATTTCCTAGTATTTTCTTTGGGCACGATTAAACAAAATAACAATAATGAAGATGATGATATAATTACAAACTCGAATTTATCATTGAAAGGTATGTATCTTTTTTTCTGGTTTCTATAGAGTGCAAGACGTCATTTTTTTTAAACTCAAAATCACAAATTGCTCCAATGCATCGTTTTATTGCTGTTTTACTTCACAAAATCTTCATCTTACATTCAGTCACATATTGAATTCCAACATAATTTAACAATAAAATCAAAAGAAAAAGAAAGTACACGGAAACAAACTTGACTCAATCAAAACCATGAACTTATCATTGAAGCCCAAAATCGAGAGTTTATACAAAATTTGACTTCTGGTAGGCCACAGATCCAAAGATTACCACAAATCCTTTACTGATTAAATAAAAAAAAATCCCCAATCCAACAAAACAAGCAATTCGCCATAATCAAAAACAAATTACGCACAGGATAACGATCGCTTGCTAAGTAATTGATGAAGAAAAGGCGAATGTTAAATCATATTACTAACCCAGGGATTTTGTCCACCTCAAACTCGACGCCGTCTCTGGCTAGAACGAACATCTCGTTGACAAAAGGAACCGGCATGCCATTGGGGAAAAGCTGAGGGTTGAAAGCCATTTTCGCGAGCGATCGAGAAGAAGAAGAAGGTGAAGTTGTTTGATTGGGATCAAATTCGTGCGATATAAGATGAATATATATTTGCAGGAGAAAAGGAGCTCTGTCAAAAACGAACCGACAATGGCGATTCTACAAACGTCTGGACGTTCTGTTCTACTTCTGTTGGGGGTGAGTTTGGTATCTATGCATACTTGCTATTTATTTTGTTAAAACCAGGCTTATTTGCATTGTTATTCCCCAGCTTATTAATTAAAACTCTACAAAAATATTTTTAAAACATTTAAAAGATATAGAAAATTCGAAAAAAAAAAAAAGAAAAACATATCCTAGAGTTAAAAAAATTCAAAATATTTTAATTTTTTTTTTGGAGAAAGTCTTTTGACATTTAAAATTTTGGTTAAATAAGTAGAAGGGTGGTTTGGGTATTTTAGTCTCAAAATTCGTTTTAGAATATAGAAAAAGAGAAAATTTACTATAACATTTTTTTTTTTAAAAAGGAGGGACATCGATTTACTGAAACGTAAAAAAAAAAAAAAAATCAATCCAACTCAATTAATAAAAATACGAGAAAAACTAAAACAAAACATTTAGCATTTTAAAAAAATGATTAACAAACATAAACACAAAAACAAAAAAAGGAAAAAAAACAAATAGTAAAGAAAATTTAATTTATCTTTTTGGAATGGTCATTGAAACGAGAAAATTAAGGTTTTATTATAGATTTCAAAATAGTAATAGTTTATACTTTGGGGAGTGTGTGGAGAGAAAAAATTTCTTTCATTAATTTTTTTAGGAAATTTGTCTGGTAGCCGGTCTATCAATAAGGTCAGTTTTTAACACATTAGATCTGGTTAAAATTGAATTAGAATAAAAAATATATAAAATAAATAGTTTTTAATACAAATTTGATGGCTAAAAAATAAAAAACTATTAGTAATTTATTTTTTTAGTCTTATTAGAGATACTTCCTTTTTAAGAAATGAAATTTAATTGCATGATTAAATATATTATAATTGTATGTTTTATTTATCATTTTATGCGAGGGTCTTTTTGTCATAAAAATTTTTAATTTAAAAGGAGTGTGTTAATAGAACCATTCTTAACTTTATTCAATGGCATTTTTTTGTCATCCATTACCATAAATAATAAGTTATACTTAAAAGAAAATAACAAGTTATCTTCAAAAGAAAAAAAAAAACACAGATAGCTTTTGGAAACTATTGTGTTAAAAAGAAATATGTTTTGGAAATCTGAGGTAAAAAAAATGAAAAAAGAAAAAAAATCAAAGATATTGATATCTCTTATTGCATTTAACAACAAAAAGAAGATGGAGACTAATAGTGCTAACATATTAGAGTTTAGGAATTTAAGTGACTAAATTCTTAAAATGGGGACGAAAGATGTCAACAAATTAAGAACTTGAGAATTTAGAGTGTCCAAATTCTTAAAATGGAATTAACAATGCCAACAGATTAAGAGTTTGGGGATATTAGTATTTAAATTCTTAAAATAAGAACTAAGTATCAAACATGAGAAATTTTTGGGACCCATGAAATAAAAATCTCAAAGAATAAAAGATTATGAATCAAACTTTTGAAATGCTCATATAACTTGAGGGCATTATTAAGCCTATTAGTCCCTAGACCATCAATTTGAGTTATTTTAACCTCTTAATATTTTATTTTGATAAATTACTCTCTAAATTTGTAATTTCTTTTTAATTTTACTCTCTAATGATAAAGTTAACTATGAATTTCTAGAACTTAATAAAACTAATCATTTTTCTATCACATAATACTAAAAATTCTAAAAAAAAGTTGACTAAATGTGAAATTTTTTAAATTTAAAAGGGTTTTAACAACTGTGAAGTAAACATTTTATCCTTAATATAGAATTCCTTGCAATTAATTTAGTAAAATTTCAAGTTATCATGTAATGATCATATAATTACTTTTCCTAAATTTCAAAAGTGTGACATTATTTTTATAGTTAGGGGCCAAAATATTAAATGATAATAATAACAGTAATACAAGTTCAAGAAGTTATTTGTCTAATAATTACAAAAATTCTCCCTAAATTATACCCCTTGTAATATTTTATCCCATGTTATTTAAAACATAATATTTGTTCTCATGAATAATGAAATGTTAACAAAAAAACCTCATTCATTATATTTTTATTTAAAATTGACATTTATTTTGCTATTTTTAAGGTATTTTGATAATTCTCTAGTTTAAAATTTAATTTGAATTTAAACTAATTTAAATATTCAGAAAACTTCATAAATTTTTTTATTCTAACAAAAAAAATATTCATAAAAGTTTTAGCTTACATTCAATTAATAATTGATGTATCATAATTAAAAATTCAAATGTAAATTAGTTTTAAATTCAAACTAAATTTTAAACTATAGAACTATCAAAATATCCTAAAATTATAAATTAAATATCAAGTTCCATTAAAAAAATCTAACATAAGGGTTTTTTTTATTAAGATTTTATTGTTTAAAAAACAAATATTACGTTTTAAAAATTATACAACAAAGTGTTATAAATGATATAGTTATGCGAGAGTTTTTATAATTACTCTAAAAAAAGTACCTAAAGTGACATAATATGCAATAGTGCAAGGACTAACACCGGTAATAATCAGGAGTCGAAAACAATTGAAGGAGAAAAAGAAAACAAAAACAAAACAAAAATAGCAGAACAGAAAAGAGATATTTGTAAAAATAACTCTTTTAAAAAATTTTATTAATAAAATAATTTTTTAAAATTTTTATTTATAAAATGACATCTTTTTATAAAAATAAGTAAATATATTTCTTCTTAAAAAATAAAAAAAAATCATTTTATTAATTTTATTTTGTTGGAAAGTTAGGATTTTGCCAAAAAGTGAAACTTGTTAAACGCAGATTGCGCGTACATTATATAAATGAAAGTCAGAGCAAACAAACGTGTTTATGTCGAGCACTTTTAATTCCAACTTCAGCGATAGCTTCGAACTGTTTTTTTTTTTTTTTTTTTAATAGAAAACGAGAGCTCCAAACTTGTTCCACAGATCTAGCGCATCGGTGTCACAAATGGGTATTACTCTTCTTCTCCATAAATTTCCTTTTCCGTGTTTAATTCTATTATTTACTTCCAAACCAATTCCATTCCTTGCTTTCTAATCACTTATAATCCAAAATAAAGGGCATAAAGAGTTGAAAAACAAGACAGAGAAAAAAACCCGTGAACATTACGATGGTGATGACGATAATGAAGATTATGATGATTGTTGGCGGTGGATTGCCCACAAGGGAATTGGGTTTTCATTCATGTCCATTGGTGTTTTTGGATTGTTGGTGAGATTGGGTGTTTCATTACACCCTTATTCAGGAGCTGGGAATCCTCCAAACTATGGAGATTTTGAGGCCCAGAGGCATTGGATGGAAATAACTCTTAATGTCCCAATCAAGGATTGGTACACCAACACCACTCACAATGATCTTTCCTATTGGGGACTTGACTATCCTCCCCTCACTGCTTACCAGAGCTACTTCCATGGCCTCTTCCTCAGACTCTTTCATCCCGAATCCGTCTCGCTTTTCGCTTCCCGCGGCCACGAGTCCTATCTGGGGTTTGTGTTCTGAACTTATCCTTGATTGTTTTTGCAGTTCATTGTTGTTCAAAGAACAAATATGTGGTTTGTGTTCTGAACTGTCCCATGATTGTTTTTGCAGTTTATTGTTGTTCAAAGGCAATTTGAAATTTCTTTTAATATAGTTGGTGACGATAACTATTTGGGGGTTTGTGGTCTGAACTGACCCATGATAGTTTATTCATTACTTTGCTGTTCAAAGAAATTTTCAATTTTTTTTTATGGTGGGTAGTGCAAGAGTGCTTTGATACTAAAATCGTAACACTCTTAGATGAGATGTTTAATCATAGGATCAACTAGACCCGTTAAGTTAAGAAGTGTTAAACATTCATTCTTGACTTAAAAGAGACTTGGGGAGTGAAGAATGAGAAGAATGTTTTTTTTTTTCCCTCCTTATAGGAACAAAAACTTCACTAATAATGAAAAGATTACAAATGAAGCTTCGAGATGGTTGAGGTATCCATCTAAAACAGAAAAAACAACAAAAATGAAAAGCAAAAATAAAACAATGGGCTAAATACAACCAGACTACACAAATTATTTCAGGACATCGTCCCAGCTTAACAGAATTAAAGATGATGGGAAATTCTTGAAAGAAGGATTTGTTGCAGCCCAAATTGACACTAAGCATTTTGCCTTCTCAAATTAATCCTCGAATGACATTTCTTTTTCTTCAAATATCCTTTGATTTCTCTCCCACCATATAACCCAGAGAAATAGCCAAACACATTGCACGCCAACCAAACCCCGAATGACATTTCTTTTTCTTCAAGTCTAGGCTTTCTTTTTCTTCCCAAAAACCAAACCAATCTTCCACTAGAATAGCATTACTACGGGTTGGGAAGACCCAATTTAAGTCAGCCGCTCCTAAAACCTTCAACCAAAGTCTCCGAGCCGAATCACAATGCCTAAACAAGTGATCCAAGGATTCTGAGTTTGACCTGCACATTACACAACAACTTGGGGACAAAGCAACCAAAGGATGTTTCCTCTACACTAAATCACAAGTGTTCAAGACCCACAAAGGATGTTTCCTCTGTGGGTCCAAGTGGGTTTGGATGGAGACTTTAATGTTATTAGATTCTTGCACGAGTGTCTTCCGCCCTCAATAAGTACAAGGAGTATGAGGTTCTTTGATGCTTTTATCCAAGAAGGGATTTGAAAGATATTGCTCTCTTTAATGGCAAATTTACATGGTGTAATTTTAAGGATGCTGAGGTAAAAAGTAGGTTGGACAGATTCCTTATATCTTCATAATGGTATGAGGAATTCCCTAATGTCAAGCAGTTGGTGGGTTGTCAAACTTCATCGGATTGTCCTTTGATTTTGGATACCAATCTAGTAAAATGGGGGCCAGGGTCATTTTGGTTGGGAATATGTGGCTCGATCATCCACAATTTTTGGGTTTCCGTAGAAGAATTTGGGCTGAAGAGGAGGTAGAGGACTGAGAGAGGTTGAAGATTGCTTTGAAAGAATGGAACAAAAATGTGTCTGGAGATTTAAGGTTAATAAGGAGTGATTTGATGGCAAATATTAATTATTTGGATAGGAAGGACGAAACAGAGGGTCTTAATGAAAGAGAAAGATTAGAAAGGAGGTCGTTGAGGAATTCAATTGAAGAAGTGGTGTTCAAGGAGGCAATTTCTTGGAGACAAAAAATGAAAACTCGATGGGTGGAGGGCGATGCAAACACTTAACTTTTTTATAATTTGGTTAGCAACAGGCTAAATAAGAGCATAATAAGTAGAATTGATAGGGATGATGGGGTGGTAGTGAATGATAGTGTAGAAGTAGTGAGACAAATAGTTGCTTGTTACGAGAGATTGTACAAAGAGGAGTCAAACACGCAATGGTCTTTCGAGGGGATTGATTGGAAGCAGATTTCAAGCGAGAAGGCAAGTTGGCTCGAGAGATCTTTTGAGGAGAATGAAATCAAACTTGCGGTGTTCTTTTGTGACAAGGAGAAATTGCGGGAGCCCGATGGCTTTTCGATGGGGTTTTATAAAAAATGTTGGGACTTCTTTAAGGGTGATTTGTAAAGACTACTGGAGGAATTTCACAGGATGGGGTAGTTAATACAGATATAACCACACTTTCCTATGTCTCATTCCTAAAAAGGAGGATTCTAGAAGGTCAAAGACTTTAGACCAATCAGTTTGGTCTCTAGTCTTTATAAGATTATCGCCAAGGTTTTGGCAAATGGGTTAAGGGCAGTTTTAAAAGACACAATCTCTACTAGGCAAAGTGCGTTTATTCGGGGTAGGCAAATTTTAGACGGTGTTCTAATTGCCAACGAGATAGAGGAATATAGAGTGGAGGAAAAAGAGGGTCTTGTGTTCAAAGTGGATTTTGAAAAGGCGTATGATCATGTAAAGTGGAATTTTCTAAAGTACGTGATGGGGAAAAAAGGCTTTGGGTGCTGCCTCGGCTCAGCAAACTTTTCTATCATGATTAATGGAAAACCAGAGGGTAGTTTTTGGAGCTTCAAGAGGGCTTAGACAAGGAGATCCCTTTTCCCCTTTCCTTTTCACTTTGGTGGTTGATGGGCTTAGTAGGCTGATGGAAAAAGCAGGCTGTTTGGAGGTGGTTAAAGGATTCAAGATTGGCAGTGAACAAATTCATATTTCACATCTTCAATTTGCAGATGACACCTTTTTTTCTTGAACCATCGGGAGATAATGTTAAAAACATGGCTGCCATTTTGAAATTTTTTTCGCATTGTCAAGGCTTCGGATCGACATGGGGAAAAGTACTTTGAATGGGATTAACGTGGAGGAGGAAGTAATTCGGGCCTTGGCTTTTGAATTGGGATGCGAGGTACGGTCATGGCCTATGAAATATTTAGGCCTCCCACTAGGCGGTTCTATCTCGGGAGTTTTGGAATCCGGTGGTGGAAAAAGTTTCCAAGAGATTGGAGTCTTGGAAAAAGAAAATTTATTTATCTAGAGGGGGGAGACTGACTCTTATTCAATTTGTGGAAATATGAAATTAAACGTCTCAATTAGCAAAACAGATTGTCAACCAGTTAGCTGATTGTTTGTATTTCCTTATTTGTAAATATTAGTTTTTTTTTTTTTTTTTTTTTGTTGATTTCTAGGCCTAGAATCAAGGGTGATATCAGATTGTGATTTCCCCTCCTTTTCTATTTAATCTCTGTACATTCACCATGAAAAAAATTAAGAAATAAGAAAAATAGAATAATTTTTCTCCCATCCTTTCCATACGATCCACAGTGACATTTGGGGTCCTTCTCGCATCACCAATATCTCAGGGAAAAGGTGGTTTGTCTCCTTTATTGATAATCATACAAGAACAACATGGATATTTCTCATGAAGGAAAAATCAGAGGCAGGTCCTATCTTTAAAAACTTCCATTCCATGATCCAAAACCAATTTCAAGCCAATGTTCAAATCTTTAGAACAGACAATGCAAAAGATTATTTCAATACCATTCTTGGGGAATACTTACTGGAAAAAGGAATAGTGCATCAGAGTTCTTGCATAACTACCCCTCAACAAAATGGCATAGCCGAACGGAAAAACCGACATCTTCTTGAAGTTGCTGGTGCTCTCATGTTTACCTCCAATGTTCCAAAACATTTCTAGGGAGATGCAGTACTTACAGCAGCATATCTTATCAACAGAATGCCATCTCGGGTATTGAAATTCAAAACTCCATGTCAAACTCTCTCTCAAGCCTATCCTTCAACTCGGTTGATCTCTTCTCTTCCTCTCAAAGTGTTCGGATGCTCAGTGTTTGTCCATATTCCCTCCCATCTAAGAAGCAAACTTGATCCCAAAGCTGTTAAATGTTTATTCCTTGGATACTCATCAAATCAAAAAAGATACAAGTGTTACTCTCCAATCACCAAGAGGATCTACAATTCTATGGATGTTTCTTTCATTGAAGACCAACCATTCTACCCGAAAACTCATATTCAGGGGGAGAATTCTGCCACTCAAGAAGAATATAAGTTTTGGTTTGACCTAGATCATCCGACATCCACTGAACCCCCACAAATAAGAGTCAATCGAAACTCCACAAATAGAGTCAACCGAACCTCCACAAACAGTACAACTCACTCCTCAAACAACTCAACTTGAAAATCCTTCCATCACAGACACTCTTCTGATCCACAAAACTGGTACAGATTGCAGACAAGTGTACTCAAGAAGGTTGAAGACTAAAAAGGGGATAGAGCATCCAATTCTTC